TCTGTCTTAGGAATGAAACCGATCTCCAGAGTTGGCGGCACTTTCTCTTTGTTGGCCGCTTTAAGTGTCCGCAATTCGTTAACCACTTGCGCGGCCAACGATTCCTTCAAATAGCCGATTATTTTGCCGTCGAGTGAGACACTCAGATATGTGTCGTCTATATAGACGGGACAGTCGAGTGGTTCCATACCGGCGCTCGACAACAGTTCCAATACGTTTCGTACAGTCGACTGATAATTAGTGATTTGACACATCTCTGCCAAGTGGTTAAGTAGACCACACGGAGAGCCGTCGGGTGTGTGGACGGGACACATGAAACCCCAGGCCTCGGGATAGAGTTTACGACATGCGGTGGTTTTCATTTCGGCGAAGAACTGTCCCCTATGGACGGCACGGAAATGGGACACAAAGCGCTGCCAATTGATCTTATCGGCCATCACTGTAATGCCGGCCGTCTGTTGCAAACCGAGTCCAGACCGGGAGCGCAGGTTTCCAGTGGTCAACAGGTATTCTAGTGGTCGCGTAATTTCGCTGTACTTCGCGTTCAACGCCTTCTTGAGTATCGTTGAGTTGAGTGCACACCTGTTGCCCGACTTCTCTGCCGTTAACAGCAATTTGTCGATCACTTGCTTAACGCTCGCCAAGAATATAGACATGCGTTCCAGAAGTAACGTGAAGTAGACGTGACCGCTGAGGAAGATCTCGTGGAACATAGGATTGTCGGGATTCTCTTGAGCGCACTCTCCCTTCGCGAACGCAAACAACTTTCTGGTCATAAATATTAATAAATTGAATTTGTCTTGATTTGAGTTCAGATGTATTGCAACGCATTCTCTGTACAAAACAACACAAAATATAGTTTAAAACTTGTTTCCATCGCAAACATAATAAAACTAGTGCTCAAATACCGGAACAGATAATCGGTGACCTCTTCGTCGGTATACCATTCAGGACAGTGACATTTGGCGCGAAACCGTTCGCCGATATATTTCTTAATCTGTTTACTGGTGTAGAGGTTCTCGTCCTGAACCAGACGTAACATATTAGTGATACAGCCCTTGAAGTAAGTGTCCGTTTGTTTGCCTTTCACTAACTCGTTGAATATGTACTGATCGGAGACATCCATCAACACTTTCAACACCATTATTAGCGGCAAATACACGGGTTGTCTGTCGTACCAGAACCGGAGTCTAGCCGTTCCGTTAGTTAAATAGTGAAGAATCATATTCTGGACACATTTGATGACACAATTTGAGTAAATATTTTATTAAGATTAATATGAATGTCAATCACTTACGGATCCCACTTGATCTGTACGCACGCAACGGATTGATATACCGTATTGACTGAATAGGTGTCCGCTATCTTTCCATGACTTTCGATTGATAGCCATTGGCTTCGGGAAGAAACATAGGGTTAACATATTTTACAACAAACAAAAATCAATAGTAATTAAATGCATACATAATTCCTGCGCTGAGCGGTCAGTAATCGGACGACACGTTCGTTACCGTTGACCACCCAATAGCCGCCGAACTCGTCGGCGTCAGAAACCGTTCGCCGATATATTTCTTAATCTGTTTACTGGTGTAGAGGTTCTCGTCCTGAACCAGACGTAACATATTAGTGATACAGCCCTTGAAGTAAGTGTCCGTTTGTTTGCCTTTCACTAACTCATTGAATATGTACTGATCGGAGACATCCATCAACACTTTCAACACCATTATTAGCGGCAAATACACGGGTTGTCTGTCGTACCAGAAGCGGAGTCGAGCCGTTCCGTTAGTTAAATAGTGAAGAATCATATTCTGGACACATTTAATGACACAATTTGCTTAAATGTTTTATTAAGATTAATATCAACGTTAATGTCAATCACTTACTGATCCCACTTGATCTGTACGCACGCAACGGATTGATATACCGTATTGACTGAATAGGTGTCCGCTATCTTTCCATGACTTACGATTGATAGCCATTGGCTTCGAGAAGAAACATAGGGTTAATATATTTTACAACAAACAAAAATCAATAGTAATTAAATGCATACATAATTCCTGCGCTGAGCGGTCAGTAATCGGACGACACGTTCGTTACCGTTGACCACCCAATAGCCGCCGAACTCGTCGGCGTCCTCTTTCCTCTGAACCAATTGTTTTTTGGTTAACTTTTCTAAATTACATCGATTTGACTGAAATGATAGGCAAATGCATGTGAATAATGGTTGCATATGACAACACTTTCATTGCCATACCTTAACCATAATAGGTATCTCTCCGACGGCCTCTTCGATGATTTCTTGCATTTTCCCGTCAATACTCCACGAGAAGGTCAGATGGAGTTTACCCTTATATGTCGTGCCTCTCATACGACACTGTGTTTTGTGTTAACAATTAATTATAGCAATCAATGTATCGTTTATACCGTACTTCCGAGGGATAGACGTGAACCGTTCGCGACTGCGAGTCTTTGTGGACAATCGGTGGAAATATCGCTGAGTCCTGAAGAATAACAATAAAGCATTCATTAAATACTTGGTTAGTTTTCTTACAAATCTAAATAAGTATACAATTATTTGAATCCTAATCCTCTCTTTGGTGGACAACTCAAACTCAAGAGGTTTGAGATTCTGTGGAGAAATCAATGATAAGTGAGATGTGGATCAAGTGATGTGACAATGTGTTGGACACAAACCTGAATCCCTTTCTGCAATCCTTCCTCAATCATGAAGTTAAATGACTGGATGTGGGCTTTGGCTAAGTCTTGTATAGACTGTCAAATCAATGGTAAGAATCAGTGAATCACATCCAATGGCGAAGACATTGGTTCATACCTTAGTCTGCGGTCGATTCAAGTCATAGTAGTCTTTGTTTTGGATCAGCTTTTGTGTCGGTTTGATCGACAGGTTCTGTATTTCGTGCAATAAGTCATTGGTGTTGATAATAGCTTTGGCCATCTCTTGTGCCCAATGAGTTCCCGATGGGTGACAATCGGTGGTAATGAATGCGGTGTTCACTCAATACACGCCACTCTCTGTCTCTCACATGTGTTTTCAATGCAATAACAAACTCATAGCGCATGACATTCAGCACGTGTTGTGTTCATACAGTCACTCATCGATATAGTGTACGATTCGCTTACAGTTCCCAAACACTCAACTATTAGTGTACACTACTGTATATCCTGTATGTAAACTAAAAATTGTGCATGCTACATATGAATAGTGTGACCACATTTACTCTAATTGGCTATTAGTAATTGCATTTGGTATCAAATATAGATACTTTCCATATTCTGTAATTATTTATGATTAAAATACGTGATAAAAATTGTATAATTGTTAAATTACATTATATAATAGTTATAGTTTTAACTTTAATATTAACAAATACATTTAATGTAAGCTATTGTGAATAAAAGACAAAATTGAAAATATTTTAGAGTGATATATTACAAGTGTATATATTATTAAATTGTAAAATATTTGAGAAATTTAATGAAAAGTCATTAAAAGTAGAAATAATGTGAGTTTATATTTATTTGATGTAACACTAGCTCTAAAATGATGTCAATTGTGTTGATTCAATACTTTGAAAATATATTATTAAAGAATCTGTGAATTCTATAAATATTGTGTTTTAAAAGTTAACTATATTTTTAAAAAATCACAAGTAATTTGAATTTTAAAAAGTATTTCTGCAAAGGTGATTTTTCATGTAACATGCTAAAATATTTTATAAATTATAATGTACAAACACTAAACGTAATAATTTTTATAATTACTGTAGAAAATTTATGTACTGTACAAATAAGAAAATTACATATTAATTATATGGTTACAATTTGCTTATTAGAATTTTATTCACACTTTAAATACAACTAAAAATAATAATAATGTTATATATTTAGAAAACTCACAGAATTTTTACAGAATTTTATTTCTAACAATTAAAATATTTTTAATGCAATTTATATAATTTGTAATAACTATAAATTACGCAAAATATGATCACATTATGTCTCCCATTATACTGTACTGTACGTCAAGAATCTATTATCCTATAAATGGTATCTATTATTGAAATTTTATTTAATTTTCAAAATATATTTCGTTTTTATGCCATAAAGATGTCTATTTTAATGGTATTTTATACAAACAAACATTTAAAATTCAATAAATGTGGCAAAAAATGGTTAAATAAAAATAACTTTTACGACACAAACACCGAAATGGGTTCATAATTCATATATTCAATACAAATACAAATATAATTAGTGTATAAATTGAGTTATATTTGATTAATTATACGAAACTCGATGTCAAACATAGTTTGCTTAAAGGCCTACAAAATAGTG